TTGAAAGAAGGCCGACTGAGGATTCATTTTACCAGTCATTAAAGCCAGTAAGTCCGAGTCAGCCATGGTGATTGTGCAGTCAGCCTTTTTATCTGAGTTGGGAAGCACTGATCCTTTGCCATTCTTCACATCCACCACCCAGGTGGCTTCTTTACCCCCAGGACCATCCTTCACCTTGAAGGCAAAAATACCACCAATTTTCTTCACAAACTGTTCCCCATCCTCTTCAAGCTTCTTCTCGATCTCCTTAAAGACAAGATCTGCCTTAAATCCATCACTTGCAGCACTGGTGGGAGCAGCCTCAATCTGATGTGTCCTGGCGGCTTCCGGAAACCCCATCTTATAGAGCGTGACCACCACTGCTCCTCCGAGGCCTAAATTATGCTGCAGAGCAACCTTTGCACCAGGAACTTGCCTCTTCCCGGCTTCCCCTCTCAGCTGCCCAGCATTTGCCATTTCTAATCTAATTACTAAGTCTTTGATAGATTTTGATTTGAGTTTTGTGCATTGTGAGGGAGAGAGATCTAATTTCATTTTTCTACATATAGTTTCCCAGTTTTCCTAGCATGATTTGTTTAAAAAGCTATGTTTTCTCCAAGATATATTTTTGGCACTTTTGTCAAATATCAGATGGCTGTAGTAGGTATGTGGATTTGTCTCTGTGTCTTCTATTCTGTTCAACTGGTTGTCTTGCCTATTTTTTAAAATGCTTTTATTTGTCCTTTTTAGTTATACATGATAGTAGAATGTATTTTGACATTACCTATGTACATGGAGTATAACTTCCCATTTTTGTAGTTGTGTATGATGTGGAGTAACAGTGGTCGTGTATTCATGTATGAACAAAAGAAAGTTAAGTCCAATTCATTATACTGTTTTTCCCATTCCCAATCCCTTTCCTTTACTCTGACTTTGTCAAGTAAATGTGGGCCCAGAAACAAACAAGATGAAGTGATACTGTTGTGATACATTCTTTCAGAAAAACAACACATGTTCTTATCACAAACCATTGTGTGAGGAAATCTTTTCTTCTTGAATGAATACTGTACTTCTTTTTATTTGTTTTTGCAGTGCTGGGGATAGAATTCAGGACTCTATGAATGCTAAGCAAGCACTCTTCTATTGGATATCTACATCCCCAGCCCACCCATACTTCTTTTTGTTCTTAGAAAATTGCTGTTCTTTCATCTGTTCTTTTTTTTAAATATTTATTTTTTAGTTGTAATTGGACACATTACCTTTATTTTATTTATTTTTATGTGATGCTGAGGATCGAACCCAGGGTCTCGCACATGCTAGGCGAGCGCTGTACCGAACAACCCCAGCAATCATCTGTTCTTAAATTTAAGAAAATTCGTCTTAGAATATTAACATCCGAAATTGGTTTTACTTATACATGATTAATTTTATCAGCATTACTAGATTTTAGTGTAATAGTATTTCTGCTATTACCTTGTTTGGTCCTTTCTAGCATAGTTATGAACATTTGATGAATATTGAAATAATTTCTTTTTTTAAATTTTATTTTTAGTTATAGATAGACACACTATCTTTATTTATTTTTATGTGGTGCTGAGGATCCAACCCGGTGTGTCACACACGTGCAAGGCAAGTGCTCTACCACTGAGCTACAGCCCCAGTCCAAATATTGAAATAATTTCTAAGGAATGAAATAACAAATATTTTAAGATGCAGGAAAAATAAATAAGATCACTAAGATTATCTATCTTAGATTTATAGAAGGATCCAGTAGATACATATTGTAATTTCATATGCTATTGTATCCTATTTTTTAAAATAAGCAAAATTTCTTTATTATATCTTACATATTATATCACTAAAAAGAATAAAAGTCATGAAATATTTGTTCTAACATAGAAAAGAACCTCAAATTTGGTCCTGTGGACTCTAATGATATGCTAAGGCATGACCAGCAGGTGGAGCTAAATGACTATGAAAAGCATAAAAGGTTTGTGTAAATGTGAAAGTACCTTAAAAAAGGAAAGAAAAACATTTTTATATTCCAAAAGTACATATTGTAGATCCAAAAATAAAATAAGGAAAATAATTAAAAGAAAAAAAAGCATGAAATGATAAAAATATCAAAAGGTCTTTTAGAGACAATTTTTAGGGGGAAAATGGAATTAAGAAAGAGATGTATCTAACTAATAGAATCAAGAACGTCTGATATCTTTTATTTGAAAATTACTGTATAAAATCAGTAAACTTGCTGGGGATGGTGACACATGCTGTAAGCTACCTCAAGAGGCTGAAGCAGAAGGATTTAGCTAGAAATAATGGGGTTTGTAGAATTTAGTGCATATTTAAAATTTTTACTAAGCTATTTTAATGACTCAAGACCCCAAAACCAAGGGGAATTCTTTCCCCTGTTGGCCTGAATAAGCTCTTCTCCCTGTCTTTTTTATCTCAAAGGCCACATGTGAGCCTTCAGCTGTACCCTGAGCCACACAGTGTTTTCTAAGGATTATCTATGCAGTGATTCTTGAATTGTCACTTTTTTCTCTTGGTGATCTCTTAGGGACCCCATCTGTTCCAAAATTCCTTTTTTAAATGTAAAACCTTGTGTGGCCCAGTGATTTTAATTGTTTCTAGCTCTGTAGTCTAGTCACTTAGGAGTTCTTTGGGCATTCCACCTGGCTGGCTTTCAGGAGATGATTTCTCTCCCTCATTTTGCCACAAGATTAACAAGTATCTTATAGAATGAGAGTGAAAGAAAATAATCAAATCTACCATCCACCTCCCATCTCCACAAATTTTGAAATAAGGAAATTTTAAAAGTTTTATTGTGATGTTGTGAACAGTATAACAATTTGTTGTTGTTGCTGTTGTCGTTGGGATCAAACCCAGGGCCTCATGTGTGCTAGGCAAGTGTTCTGTCACTGAGCTGTACTCCCACGCCTTCTCATACTATTTTTTTTTTTTTTTTTTTGGTCAGAGCTAGGTACTGGGGATTGAACTCAGGGGAACTTAACCAATGAGCCACATCCAAAGCCCTATTTTGTATTTTATTTAGAGACAAGGTCTCAGTTACTTAGCACCTTGCTGTTGCTGAAGCTTCTCATACTATTTTAATTGCAAACTTTAAAAATATATAGTTCTTGCTGGATGTTGTGGCGTGTACTTGTAGCCCCATCTACTTAGGAAGTTGAGGCAGGAGGATCACTTAAGCCCAGGAGTTGAGGGCCAACCTGGGCAACATAGCAAGACACTGTCTCAAAAACAACAACTACAAATAAATAAATATATCTACACATGTGTGTATATTTGTATGTGTGTTAGTAATCACCAACTAGTAAGTTCTACAAATTTTGTAACATCTTTATGTTTAAGAATTGTTATTAAAAGCCAGGCTTGGTGGCCCAAGTCTATAATTTCAGTGACTAGGGAGGCTAAAGCAGAAGGATATCAAGTTCAAGGCCAGCCTTGGCAACCTATTAAGACCCTGTCTCAAAATTTAAAATAATAGTAATAAAGGACTAGCTCAGTGGTAGACTACCCCTGGGTTCAATCCCTAATACTGCCCAAAAAAAAGGAAAAAAAAAATGAAAGAAAATAAAAAGAAAAAAATATATATATAAAATTTAGATTTTCTAAACCGTTATTTCTTAGTTTTTTATCATGGGAATAAAACACTGATTTTTTAAATACTCAAGAATATTAGTATCTTTTTGGGGTAGGGGTATAATTCAGTGGTAGAGTGCCTGCCTCCAAGGCCCTGGGTTTAATCCTTAGCACCACAAAATAAAGGAACAAAATGAATCTTACGGGCTGAGGATGTGGCTCAAGCGGTAGCGCGCTCGCATGGCATGCGTGCAACCTGGGTTTGATCCTCAGCACCACATACAAACAAAGATGTTGTGTCCGCCGAAAACTAAAAAATAAATATTAAAAAATTCTCTCTCTTTTAAAAAAAAAAAATCTTACTAGGGAACATTCGTAAGTACAATTAGTCCATTATTCTATTGTATAATTATATAAAGATGGACTTTATTAATCATCTTTGAGATTAGATTAAGCATTTATTATAAAGAATGATTTCACTATTATATGATTTATACCATGATTGGATCAAATGAATCCAGGTTATAACATGATTATCAGAAAGGTGGGTTTATCCTATTTTAAAATAGTTAAAGCAATTTTAATTCTACAGCTTTATTAAACATCCATTTTAAGGCCTTAGCTCAAAAATTTATAATAGAAAAAGTTATAAAACTTAACCTCACTAATCGTCAAAAAAATAAATTCAAATTGAAAATATTATTTTTCACTTTTATTTTATTTTATTTTTGGTACTAGGGGTTGAAACCAGGAGTGCTTTACCATCATAACCAAATACAAGTTATGAAGTTAACATTTGGTGTGATTACAACTACATTCCCAGCCCTTTTTGAAAATTTGTATTTTGAGACAAGGTCTTGCTAAGTTACTAAGGGTCTTGCTAAGTTGCTGAGGCTAGCCTTGGACTTGTGATCCTTCTGCCTCTGCCTCCCAGGTTGCTGGGATTACAAGCATGTATCACTGCATGGGGCTTCTGTTTTCTACTTTTTAAATTACCAAATTTTTTGAAGATAGTGTGGCTAACTGAACATTTCCACAAATTGCTATTAGCATTCTAAATTTGTATAGACACTCTTTTAGAGACTAAACTTCACACTTGAAGAACCTTAAAATGTTTATCATCTTTAACCAAGTGATTCCATTGTGTGATCAGTATTTTCAGGTCTTTTCCCCAATGTATTCATCAAAGGATTATAGTAAAAAAAAGGAAAACCATATAATTGAATAACAGTAATGTATGTACTATATAGGCTGTAAAATAACCACTAAACATTCTGTTTTCATGTATAATATGTCTTAGTATGTTTTTAACAAAATCATAAAATACAAGTTATGAAGTTAACATTTGGTGTGATTACAACTACATTAAAAATTAGTGAGAGAAAGAAGAAAATTGAACCAAAAATGCAACATGAGTAAGATTTGTGGTCTGTAATTTTAGTTTTTTACTAATTTTAATTTATCAATTATTAGAAATTATATGTATTTTGATAGAGAAAACTTTTTTATAAGGGAAGCATTTCTGTAGTTCCTAGTTTTTTGGAACATATCCTATGTGAAGATGTATAAAGAGAAGTCAAGTTTTTGTGTGGATTTTTTTGGAGGTCGAGTACTGGGAATTTTTAAGTGGATACTTTACCACTGAGCTGCATCCCCAGCCCTTTTTATTTTTTATTTTGAGACAGGTCTAAGTTGCTTAAGGCCTGGCTAAATTGCCGAGGCTGACCTCAAACTTGAGATCATCCTGCCTTAGCCTCCTAAGTTGCTGGGATCACAGGTATGCACCACTGCACCTGGCAAAAGTMAAGAAAAGGAATATACTTTGCCTGTTTGGAACATAGACTTGTTTGTGGGACACAAGACTATAGGAAAAC